TTCTCCCTGCTCAGTCTTTGTAGTCAGATGACCGTTTAGGCCCATAGACCTCTTGTTCTCATTTTTATTTGTTATATGTATATTCACAATGCATTTCTGCAGGAAGAATTTGTATATAATGATGACTTGATTTCTAACATTTTTCAGGGTAAAGATGAAACTAATTCTGAAAACAATCCTGATCATCCTAAAAGCCAAAAAGATTTATTGGTTGAAAAAAAGCATTTGGACTCACCTGGTTTGGCTACACGTAAAGATATCAATAAAGGTAATACAACATTGCCAGAATACATTTGTAGTATACGTACAGATACCTATTTAAGATAGATTCCGACGGTTGAGTGGTGTTTTTATGGAAATAAGAGGAAAATGATGATGCCTTTCTTGAAAGGCTAAATAGAATACCTGAATTATGACACCATATGAAGTACACTTTAACAGGATCATTATATTTGTATAAAGACATTTGGAATGAGTCTTCTTCGAAAAAAGTAGTAAGTTCATAGTAAAAAACAGTCTGATTGTAAGTTCACCATTGAATATACTTAATGATAGTATTAATATAACTATAACATTCTATTATCTGTAGCAGAATACAGTAACACTGTAAATGTATTATATTCTAACAGCCTGATAATCATAATGAACAAAAGTAACTATTATTTGTTTCGTTAGAAGCACTTTATAACAAATGAGATTTTAATACTGTAAGATTACGTCGACTTTGCATGGATATCTAATTAGCACTTTATTGACTTTAGGAACTGTTCAAGGAGGAAAAGGGGATTATGCTGTACGGAAACTTCCATGTTTGGGACATTTAAAACTATTTGATGCCATCAAAGGAGGCAAGAAACCGTCAATTAGCCTGAAAACCTGTAAGTTTGACAGTGTCATTGTGAAATATTTATATGAAGCCTCAATCCGTGAATCAAAAGAAGATCCTACTAATAGATTGACGAGGAAATCGAAGGAAACTTCCGAATTCATGCGACATTTACGACAGCTATCATGGGACACACAACAAGAGATACATATACATCTCTATATGGTACCGGATGTGATGTCGAGGTTATCAAGTTACAACATTTGGCCCCACCGTAACATCCGTACCGGACCTTTGGTGGAGGGTGGCTTTTCTTGCAAAGACCCAAACACATCCACCGTTGAATGTAAGTCGTGTGGACTGGAACTAAATGCATCAGCTCTAAACGGTACAACTCCAATGCAGTATCACAGAGAGCATTCACCTGATTGTGAGTTCTTCCGACAAGCAAACCCGCAAGGTCTTGATGGCCAACAAAACGGAGCGTTGACGGATTCCTCACACAATCAAGCCGCATCTCCTATAGGAATCAACCAGGAAGCAGCCCACTCTCCGGTTCAACAGCCTCCAGGAAATTATCAGCAAAGAAAGCCCAACCAAGACCAAGCCCAAGCAGAAAAAACGTCGGAAGCAAACGACACATCGGCACGAACACGCTCTGGAAACAATGACGGAAACATTCGTATCGATGAAGCAACGTCACCCACTAACCGTCGACAAACGGAAAATGCATCATCACTTTTTTCAAACAATGGAGCAGCTTCATTTGACTCACTTGTTGCTGAGCGTCCTAGAACAGGAGAAGTCTTTGACAGGGCCACGCTAATTGTACCCAACAATAATAATGTGACTTCAAGTGGGGAGGCTGTGAGAGAGAACGAAAACATAATAGCAGGCGCTCAGGGAGGTGAGGTCCCCTACCCAATACGTAACCCAAGGTTCACAGAGCAGAACGCACGCCGTGAGTCGTATACACATTGGCCGCATCGCGCTGCACATGACCTTGATTATCTGGTGAATGCCGGGTTCTTTTACACAGGTACGTGAAAAATAAGTTATTTTTAGTATACATATACGTATTGAAAATATCAACACATTAGATTGAATCCCCCCTCCCAATATTGAAATTGAATAATTCATAATGAAAATATTAGGTTCGCCATTCGCATGACCATTTGTCATTCAGTTAGTCGACTTTCATGTGTAAGATTTTTTATTGATTTCCATGAAGGTTTTGACGAAATAGCATTTCTATCATTTTTTAAACCTTTTAAAGTTTTATTATTTATGGAGTGATTCAAAATCACAGATAACCGACACATCATCTAATTGGTTGAACCACTGAATGGCTGAAACTTGAACTGCCCCTTTGAAACAAACATTTGGATTTGGATTTCGTATACAAAGGCCAAGGGAGGTTTGGGCCACGAAAGTAATGAGAAATACTGATCTAAATTGGAACATTAAGTGATCAAAAGATGTTTGATCTTATACAATTTTCTTCTTAGAGTCTAATAAGCAAAATTAATAAGAATTGGTACAGCTGATAATGACCAATTGGCATTTTCTGGACTAATTTGAAATCAGGCAGTCTTAACCTCTTATAAAAATAATGATTTTTAAGATGATAAAATACAAACTAGCCATATGAACAGTTGTGTATGTTTGTATCATACATAAGACTAACAATTGAAGTTCACAAAACTTGAAAAGTATATCAGAGTAAGTCCAACAAGATACTTCAAGAATATTTACAGGACTTCGTAGAAGCAGGGACAGTATATAGAGGGGATTGGCAATTCTGCCCCAGTC